GTCAAGGCACGATAAAAGAGTGCTCAGGGATACGTTTAGCTCTGCGGTGCCGAGCCATAGATTACTCCCGTTGCTCTCTCAGCCTGTCTACTGCCGAAACCGCTTGGGCATCATCACGACCGTGCAGGTGGCCTCTACCACTTGCAAACCCTAAACCCTAAAACCCAAACCCTATACCCTAAAATCCAACCCTAAACCCTCAACCCTAAAACCCAAACCCTAAACCCTGAACCCTAGAACCCTAACCTTTGGGCGCTTGGGTTCGGGAGCTTGTTGCTTGCAGTGTGGGCTTTGGGGCAGATGCCGCGCAAAGCAGTGGTGTTAATATAGGGGCCTTAAGAAGGGGTTTTGGGGTTCTATAAGGGCTACCATAAGGGTTTAGGGTTTAGAGGCCTTAATAACTAGACTAGGGCACTAGGGTTTTTGGGGGGCCTATCATACTGTCTGTCTTTATAATAAGGAACCCCCAAAATAGTATTGGTACTAAATCATTCCGACATCAAAAGTACCAGTCGTGGCTTCATAGAACATTTCAGAAGCTCCGTCCGCAATGAACGGCAGGTCAGCAGCAGGGTTATCCAGGGACGTGTGGGCCGTGGCTTCGGAATAAATATGAAACTGAGCAAACACTGATCCTCCAGTAATCCATTGCCACCAGCACAGCCAACACCTCAAGACTAGCAATGCCAGCAGCAGTTGCTGCACTGGCATAAAGTCTCCAACTACATGAAGAGGGAGCCGGTGTTGCGACAAGATTTATGTCGCATTTGGTTCTAGTACTGAATATGATCGCCGCTACAGCGGTTGCAAGTCGCCGTCGTACGCGTCGTCGTCGTCGTCGCAGAAGGAGCAGAAGGAGCAGCAGCAGCAGCAGCAGCAGCAGCAGCAGCAGCAGCAGCAGCAGTAGCAGTAGCAGCAGCAACCACACAGCGGCCTCAAGAATTACACAGACGATCAATGAGTGCAAAACACACGAAACGCTTTCCAACAGGAATCATAATAACTGGGAATACTATCTCAACAAACAACGTGTAACCGTCGAAACAAGACTAGGGGAAGGAAACTTGAATCTCGGTCCAAAAACAACACGCTGGCACCTCCAAGACCCTATTCTGATTCTTAGGGCCCCTACATGAGCGGTATCACTGGCTCAAACTAAGCCACAGTAAAGGCCAGGTCCCGAGCCCAATCGTTTGAGTCCACTTCCCCGGAGGTTGCGGCCGCGGCGGCCGTCCTGGCATGTGCCCGGCTTTGGTCAAAGTCGGTGTCTCAGGCAGCTTCGAATCTTGAGCATCTTTGGCAAAAGGAAACACGATATTGAATTGCAGATACTGCTACTAACTGCTACCAGCAGTAAACACGAAGAGGTACTTTCAGTCCCCTAATTCATCAGCTAGTTCATGAGTGCATGCATTCACACGGCGCGACAAACTAACCCATGGTTGACAGTTTAGAATCGGTTTAGGGTTCGGGGACTAGGGTTTAGGGAAGTTTAGGGTTGGGGGCCGAGGCTTTTGCGAAATTGTGTTTAGGTCTGACACTTCACTCTGAAGAGCCATGCCGCACGCCTAAAGCAAGCAGCCAAAAGAATCATGTATAAACCCTGTACCAACCCATCAAAGGCAAAAAATCTCACAGTAAGATCCTCATAGAGCCGTTACAAAGAACCCGATCCGCCCCTTCTAGAAACCCACCAAAGAACCTGACACAAGCCGTAGGCCCTAAACCCTAAACCAAGCCCGCTCCTGCAGAACTGAAGCAGCAGGATCACATGAAGGAGGCCCAGCCTCTGCAGGGCTTAGGGTTTGCTTTTTTCCGTGATACAGTGATGGGGGGAGGGGGGGTGGGTTAGGGTTCGAGAGGGTTTAGGGCGTTGGGGGTCTGATGGGTTTTTGTCGGATTCGGTAGGGTTCTGTGGGACGTTCTGGGCATTGGAAGGGTCTTTTTAAGGCATGAGAAGGGGGGGGGGGGTTTAAAGGTCTTTGGGAAGCTTAGCTTGAAGGCTCTAGAGCTTCACTGCGGTTTTTGGAGGGTTTTGGGTTTCAGGCTTCTTGATTGTGTTTTTAATAAAAACCAGTCTGTTTTTAATTAAAGACAGCTTCACTTCGGTTTTTGGAGTGTTTTGGGTTTCAGGCTTCTTGATTTCAGGCTCTCGGCCCGAAGGGATTTGAGGGCTTCAGGGGATTTGGGAGCTCAGGAGGTTTAAGGCCTTGGGGTCTACGGTTGAGGCTTTTCGGGTTGTGGCGCCAGACAGGCATTGAGGTTAGGGCTTAGGGCTTGGGGTTTCGGGTGTAGGGCTTCGTGTCTAGGGCTCAGGGTCTAAGGGTTGGTAGTATAGTATCCAGGGCCTTGGAAGCCTAGTTGGACCTTGGAACCTAGAGCTGTGACGCTCGCGAGAACCCTGAGGTTAAGGGATTCGGGGTTTAGGCTTAGGTGTTGGGAGTTAGGGCTTGGGCAAGTTAAGAGCTTTGGGAAGCTTGGGAAATGAGTTCAGGGTTTAGGGGCCGCCATTATCATCACGATCCTCATTACCACGAGCATCATCATCGTCATCATCATCATCATCATCATCATCAATAGCATCATTAGCATCATCATCTTTGGTAAGGCCCAGGGCTACTGGAAAGCTGCCCACATCCCCAAACCCCAGCAGCCTGGAAATCCCTGCGGGTCAGTTTATGTTCTTGGTTAGTTCTCCAAATTAGGGTTCCTGCACGGGTCCTTTTTACAAAAGCGCCATACTATTTGGGGGACCTAAGAAGGGACCCGAATTAAAAAACCTCCACTCTTGAGCCCTGAAAGCTGCAGTGGGGCCCAGGGTTCTGAGTGCTGGGCATACCAGGCACAGGGCAGTTCGGTACCCTTCGAGGCCCGGGAAGGGGTGTTCCCGTAGGGCCACATGGCTGCGGGTGGCAAACTGAACATGGTGCTGAAATGTTCTGAGTGATGATGAACTTTTTGACGATGGTGCTGATGCCGACGATGATTAGGCAGAGAGGAGGAGGAGGAGGAGGGGGGTGGGTAGTGGCCAAGACAGAAAGCCACCTCTCGATTTGCCGGCTACGACGGACGCGGAGTTCAACGCACAATACGGTTTAAATGTTATAAAACGTTGAGAAAATTGCACAGGCCCGCTTCGTTTGCCTTCGGCAAAGCAGCGGGATGTGCCTTCGGCAAAGCAGCGGAATGTTCTCCAAGAACTAGAGCTCTGCACACAGTGCAGGCAGCTCGAGGTCGCTCACATCGTCAGCAACATCTTCTATGTCTTCTACCGAAGCATTCTCCTGCACCGCAGTCGGTTCGAGCGTCTTCTTCTTTTTCTTGGGAGGACATCCGTGGTACGCACTGTCCAATCCATTTAGTTCCTCAGCGACATCGACCCGCAAGCCTTTTCGAGGGTTCCGCCAATCCCCGCTCCAGGCCCAACCAATCAAGAGGAAGAATGGCAGCCTGGGATCTGTACATTGTTGGGTACCACCTGCTTTTCCCAGGGTGAAGCTTTATTTCTTGGCCCTCGGTCTGGACACGCAAAAGACACAAACAAACAGGTGGAAATAAGTGTCTGCGAAATCCATAGTCTGCGTAGTCAGTTGTGTGCTTGTTTGTTTGTTTGCTTGCTTCCTTCCTTCCTTCGTTCTTTGCCTGCTTGCCTGATTGCTTGCATCTGCGTGTATTTGCTTACACTTGCTTGCATTTGCTTGCACTTGCTTGCACTTGCTTGCAGTTCCTCGCATTTGCTCGCATTTGCTCGCATTTACTTGCATTTGCTTGCGTTTGCTTGCAGCTTGCAGTTGCTTGCAGCTTGCAGTTACTTGCAGTTGCTTGCAGTTGCTTGCAGCTGCTTGCACGTGTTTGCATTTGCTTGCATATTTGCTTGCACGCGCTTGCTTGTATTTGTTTGCATTTGCTTGCATGCCTGCATGCATACATGCATGCATGCTTGCTTGCTTCCTTGCTTGCCTGAATGCTTGGTTTGCGTGGGGGGTGGGTGGGTGGATAGATGGATGGATGGATTCATGGGTTCATGGATGGATGGATGGATGGAT